TCCCTGGTAATTTTCTTGAGTTCCTTCCTTCCTGTCAATTGATGATTTACAGCTATCTCCATCAAGACGCTTGTCATCTCTCTTGCGAAAACTGACGCAAATATCTATTTAATTCGTCTGCCATCTCTTTATCCTCTACAACTAATTCCCCAGGCTCATTTCCTGTCGGACCAGCTGTTTTCTTCTTTAAATGTCTGGATAATCTTTTCCTGTCTGTTTCTTTTTCATATCTTTTGCTAACTTTCTGTTGTGCTCTCGTGCTTTCCTCCTTATTGATCTTTGAATAATTATTTGCTTTATACAATACAATTTTCTGACATGCCACCTATCTCTGCAGAATTATATGTCTTTTTTTGAGTTTAAAAATATTTTTAACTTTTCCAGTGATCACGGATGGCAAGTCCTCCGCATCAGTTGGATGTTCTGTATCCCTTGACTGGGGTCTTTAGTGGGTGCAGAGTGTGATCCAATTGCATGTACGTTCTCACTTGCAGGGTCTGTATGAGTTGGACAGTGTGTTTCAGTTGTACAGTGATTGTCCCGAAGTCAGCCAGCTGGACCTCATAAAATATGAGTTCCCTGATTGGAGTTCTTAATCTGATCCAGTCAGGGAGACCTGGCTGACAAAGAAGAATGAAAGTCAGGGATATTGGGCCCACCTGAATGCCTGATTCAGGGACTGGCAGTGCAATTCTCGCTGTGGATTTGTCAATAAAGGTTGATTGGCGATGGGATGCCGCCCTTTGAAGAGTCACTTCGGGATGCATGATATGCATCAATTCGAAGTTCGTTATCTATGAAAGGTTCTTTATTATTGGCAGGTCTGCATCAGTTGGAGATTCTGTACACTTGAAACAGCCTTATCAGCTTCAGCAGTGTGTGTGGGTTGAATGCTCGACATCTGTTGCATTGTCTGTATCAGCGGTGGTGTCTCTGCCAGTGTGGGGTCTGCATCAGATCTGGGGCCAATATTTCTTGTGTGTGAAGTCTGGAGAGAGAGGTTGATGTCGTGTGTGGAGAGCACTGTTTCTGACAAAATGCTGCCGTTATTTTTTTCTGACATAATTACTGCGACCTGACTTGCTCAACTGGGTCTTGATGTTGAATGTATTATATTTCAACAGGGAATTAACTCACTGCTGTCATCTGTTCAAATGGGAACAAAAGAACATCTGACTGACGTTGAAGTCCCACAATTCCTCAGGTGACCCACAGGATAGACAATAAAAGCTATCAGACTGTGTTACCTCCATGTCGGACTCAAACTCAGTGAGTGTCTGCAGCACAAAGGGACTGGTCAATATACGGTGGAAATGTATCGGCCGATTGAGCATGTTCAGAAACTTTATTACATGGTTCTTGCTGTTATTGGTGTTCCTGGTGAGTCACTCAAGGCACTGTGTTTGTGTTTGTGTAAATCTGTCGTGAGATGGTCTCTGCTTTCATTTTGCAACTAACATTAGATATGGGCCTGATGCTCACCAAAATACGGATAGAAAATGACTGACACAATTGTATTGACGGAAAAGTCCTGAAATTACCATGCAGTTTGTTCCTACTACCTCAGTTGTGAGCAATCCTCTGTTTGTACCCGAGGAAATGGGGGTGGGGAAGGGGGTTCTGAAATAAATAGGGAGAGAGTGGGAGGCGGATAGAAGATGGTCTAGGCCCGAAACGTCAGCCTTCCTGCTCCTCTGATGCTGCTTGGCCTGCTGTGTTCATCCAGCTCTACACCTTGTTATCAAAGAATCTGTCAGTGCAGCATTGTACTGGATGCACGTCACTCGCTCTAATGAACTAAGTTGGATCAATTTTAACATCAAATCTTTTTTGTTATCTAAAAATTCATTCAATTGCTTTACCGTTGTGTTTTATCCGCACAATATCTTAAAAATAGCTTTGCGATCGACATTGGTAATAAATCGAAATTTCTTGGTTTGCTGTTGAACTTTATTCATTACGGAATGAGGGCGTTGCTGGCCAGGCAGCATTTATTGCCCACCTCTAATTGCCCAGAGAGCAGTTAAGAGTCAACCACAGTTCTGTTCGTCTGGAGTCATACGTACGCCAGACCAGGTAAGGATGGTAGCTTCCTTCCCTAAATGACATCAGTGAACCAGATGGGTTTTTTCCCCCAACAATCGGCAATGGATTCATGGTCGTCATGAGATTATTACTTCCAGCTGTTTTAAAAGTTAATTTCAAATCCCACCGCCTGCCGCAGCGGGATTCGAACCCATGTCCCCAGCATATTATCTGGGTTTCGGGATTAACAGAGTAGCGGCAATACCAGTAGGGTTTCAGCACCGCTGTTTGAAGAGCATCAGTTATCAAGTAGTCACTGATATTTCGATCACAATGTTCCAACGTTCAAATTTACTTCTTTACAAACACCAATGTTCTTTCTCTTGGAATGACACTAAGTTTCAGGTTGCCTGCCACTTCAACGCACTACTGTGTTCGCTGGTCAACATCTGTGTCTCGGGCTTGCTGCAGTGCTCCAGTCAAGCTCAGCGCAAGCTGGAAGAACACAATAACATTTTCTGCTTGGGAACCCCGAAGCCTTCAATATTGAGAAAAATAATATTAGACCCTGAGTGCCTTCTCCCATGTCCTTTGCCCACGGCCACATACTAGGCCCTGTCATGACATGGGCGGCTTTCAGCACAGCCAACCTATTCTCACCTACTCATTATCCCAAAGATCAGCTTTTCTCCTTGCTGTCTTTATTGCTTCATAGGACCTGGCAATCACAGAGTGGTCCGGTATTTATTACCAATCGTAAGTTGTCCTTCAGAAGGTGGCAGGGAGCTGCCTTCTTGAGCCACTGCAGTCCATGTGCTGAGTGTAGACTCACCATATCCTCAGGTAGGGCATTCTCGGATTTTGATCCAGTGACATTGAAGGAACAGCAATATGTTTCCACATCTGGATGGTTAGTGGTTTGGGGGGAAATTTGCAGGGAGTGGTTTCTCATGAGTCTGATTCCCTTGTCGCTCAGGATGGGAGCAATTGATGTGGATTACTGTCATCCACTCTTTGCCTATCTAACTTTCTTTCTCTGTCTGTCTCTCTCTCTCTGCGGGCTCTGCCTCTACATATCTGCTGACTCCTTTGACCCCCACATCCCTTGTCCTCAACTCTCCACCATTCCTAACTGCTGTCCTTTCTGAATAAGGGTCACTGGGTTCAGAAAGTGAACTCTGTTTCTCACTCCACAGATGCCACCAGACCTGTTGAGATACTCCAGCAATTTCTGTTTTTGTTTCAGATCATTAACATCTGCCATTCTTAGTTTTATCCTCTCTATGAGTACGACTTCTTACTCATCGTATAATGACTTTAAAGGCATTCTATTTTCTGGATTGCTGACTAACCCATATCAGAACACAAACCTGAGATACCGTGGTTCATGACGACTGAATATTATTGCTATTAGCCAGGTTTATTTTTGAACTAAGCTGCTAGATCGGATTTCTCAATGTTTCAGATTGTTTCAAATGTAATGTGATTAATGTACTCAAAACAGAAACCTCGGGGGCTTGCATAACAAAGTTTCTCAGCTGATCATTAAATGTTTTTTGCCATTGAATAAAAGACATCTGGCTCTGGAAATGAGCTCTAAAGCTTTCCTTGGATTTTACACACTACTCAAATAATGAAACCTGTTTAAATGATTTGTGAAACTGTTCATTGAACCTACAAGAAATGTACACACTCAATCAGACATTCATTTTGTCTGAGTATTTGGGAAGCATTCTGTTCTGTCAAAAATGCGTGTTAGCTCTTTTGTGATCACTGTTCTTAATATGTGCATTGTCCAAGTTTGTACGAGCTTACAGATGATCTTAACAACGAGATTCAAGAGAAAGTTTACTCCCTTCAAATCTGTCCTTCCATTAACTACCATTATGGCTGATCTGATTGTAACCTTAAATGCGCCAACCCCTGAAAATCCTTCATTTCTGTGCCGACCAAGAATTCATCCCCCTCTACTTTAAACAATATTCAAAGACTGCCTCCACAGGTTTTTCAGGACCAGAGTACCAAAGCCTGACAGCCATCTTTAATTTTTTTTTAAAAAAAAAGTCGCATCATTCCTCCTTAAACTGAGCCACCCATTATTTTGAAACATTTACCTCTAGTTCGAGATTGTCTTCCCAATGCGACTGCTCTCTTGATAGCCAAACTGTCACGACTCGACAAGTTCTTGTGTGGTTGAATCAAGTCAGCTCATAGATTTCTAAACTCCAGCAGATGCAAACCTAACCTTCTCAAAAATATTCATCACAGAAAAAGCCGTCCATTCTAACTTTTACTATGCATTACAGTTACGTCTATCTATAGATGGGGCGACCAACACCATACACAGTCGTCTCACCCTATTTACTGACGCAAAATGTTCTTATTTTTGTGAAAAAGAAAAACCGTCGCAATTAACAACAAAATCATATTGACCTCCCTCATTACTTTTTGTACCTATATGCAAGTCTTGTGTTTAAATTTATTTTGAATTCATGGTCTGGGAGAACTGGAGACCTCTCTCCATCTAGCTCATACTCTCTAATCCAGATAGCATCCTGGTCAAACTCTTCGGCATCCCGTCCAGGCCATTCGTGTCACCAGAATTGAATGCAAACACTCGAAGTGCAGCCTAAACAAAGTCTTAAGATTTTGCAACATAACATCCTGAACCTTGTACTCAATGCCCCAAACAATAACGGCAAGCATGCCAGACACATGTTTGACCACCCTATGTACTTGTGCGTGCAAATTCAGGGAGCTACGGACTTTAAACCCAAGATCTTCCGGATATCAGTGTTGTTCAAGGTCCTGCCATTTAACATGTTGTTATACTTGAGAGAGTGCAGAAAATATTTGTAAGGATGTTGCTGGGACTGGCGTGTTTGAGTTTTAGGGAGAGGCTGATTAGGCTGGGACTTTTTTTCGTGGATGTTGAAGGCTGAGGGGGTGAACTCACAGTGGTTTATCTAATCATGATGGTCATGGTCAGGGGGAATAGCCAAGGTATTTTTCCTCGGGTGGGGCAGTCCAAAACTAGGGGACATGGCTTAAAGCGAGAGGGCAAAGACTTATAAAGGACCTGAGGTATTACTTTTTCACGCAGACGGTGGTGCTTGTTTGGACGAGCTGCAAGAGGAAGTGGTGGAGGCGGGTACAATTTCAGCATTTAAAAACATTTCGATGGATATATGAACAGCAACGGTTTAAAGGGATAGGGGCCAAATGCTGTTAAATAGGGTTAGGTCAGATTGCAATGTCTGGCCGGCACAGCTGAGTTGGACCGAAGGGTCTCTTTCCATGTTGTATGACTCTATGACTGTAAATGGTGAAAATCAATTCTGTCCCATCAACGATTTCTGAATAATTTGTTCATACTTCGATAACATCAATCCACTTTTACTTTCCTTCTTGGAGTACGTGCCGGTCATTTGTTTTTCGATTCTGCGCTTCTCGATTCCATTTTTCTCATGTCAATTGTGATTCCGTAGAACCAGAGTTAAGGGACAATGTAGTTAATGGCCATTGAACTGACACCCCACTTTAATGCCTCATTTTAGCGGCTGCCTCCTTAACCTTGCAGGTTACCGCTCTTGAAGTACCAAGACCCTCATAAACCGCTTGAGTTTCTCCACCTCAATAACCAAACATTGCAGCGGCATCCAGATACCCATTTCCTTCTAGATTAACGAAACAAACAGCTGTGGATGCTGTAAGACTGAAATGAAAGCAGACGACGCTGGTGAAACTCAGCAGCTCTGGCAGGATCTGTGCAGACAGTAACAAAGTTCAGGTTGTGAGTCCAGTGAACCTTCTTCACAATTGACAGTATTAGAAAGGGGTGGTATATATGATAACGAAAGGGAACTGGTGGGAAAGAGTGAGTATGTAGTTGGAGACGGAGCCCAAAAAGTGAGAACGGCAGTTAAGCAGACAAAGGAATGCCAAGGAAGGATAAAACATGGTAATGAGGATAACGATCAGGTGAGAACGAGTTGGCAGTGCTGAAAGCAGTCCATGTGATCACAAGGCCTGAGCTGTCGGGCTGGGGTAAAGAGCATGGAAGGAGATGGGCAGGTTCAAAAACAATGAAACTTGACATTGAATTCTGGAGGCTGCGGGTCCCAAACCGAAAGAGAGATGCTGACAACAAAGATTCAAATGGAAATCCCATCGCAGAGAGCAGCAGAACCACCTTCTGGATGAAAATGCTTTTCCTAACGTGCCGTCAAACCATTCTACTAATTACCTTAAGTCTGTACCCTCTGATAACCGATATCTCTGCTCAGGGAAGCTGTCATCCACGTCCACTCTATCAAATGTCACCTTCATTCGATTATTATCTTGTTTAGTAGGCTCATCAATGGTTCTTCAGATTTCTTCTATCTCCTGCTTTAAGCATAAACACAGCACTGTCTGCTCTTTTGTCATCTAATGATGTTTTGAACATAATTGTTGAACACATAAGTGACCCTGCTCTCTCTCCACACAATTACAAAATATAATGATACAAACCGGGTATTTTCTCTGGTCTTTGAATAGTTCATCAAATCTGCCTTGAATATTTGAAGGGAAGATTTAAAGAAATGAATGTTACAAAATTACAAATCAGGATTCTTTTTTCCTTACTGAAATCAGATAGTAAAAGAAAAAAGAAAAAAGTATGTTTCAAATGAAAAAAAAAATCAGATTGGACGAGTGCCATGGTTTACAACTTGCTCGAGGAACATAGGGACATGCGAAGAGACATCAAGCCTGCCCTGACAGTCAGTACGGTCCTTGCTGATCATATTATTCAATACCTTTTCTGTTGACTGTCATTGTAAGCTTTCACGCCATTGATAATAAAAAAAAAGTCTACCTGAAATGTGCTGTAAGACTGAGTGTCCTCAAACTGTTGGATGAGACAATTCGAAAAATTCATAGATATTATTGGGAGAGTGGACAGTGAAGAAGGTGGTCCAAAAGTGCAAAGGGACTTTGGTCAACTGGGCAAGTGGGTGGAGGAATTGCAGACGTGGTTTCATTTCGGTAAATGCGAGGTGTTGTATGTTGATAAGACAAAACACTGTGGGACTTATGCAGTTAATGGTAGGGCACTGGACAGTTTCGTTGAACAGAGAGATAAAAGGGTTCAGGTAAATAATTCCTTGAAAGTGGCATCACAGGTAGACAGGGTGGTGAAGAGAAGGTGATTGCCATGCTTCCCTGAATCAGTCAGAGCATTGACTACATGAGTTGTGATTGCAATTTGTGGCTGAACAAATATTGGCAAAACCACTTTTGGTTTAATGCATACGATTCTGGTCGCCCTGCTATGGGAAGGTTGTTACTCAACTGAAAAGGGGTGCAAAAAAGATTTCCATGTATGTTACTGAGACTTGATGGTTTGAGTCATAAGGAGAGGCTGGATAGGCTGGGGTATTTTTCCCCTGCAACGTCGAAGTCTGAGGGGTTGATTTGTAGAGGTGTATAAAATAATGAAGGGCACAGAAAAGGTGAATAGGCAAGGTCAATATTTTTTCTTCCCTGGGTTATGCAGTCCAAAACTAGAGGGCATAAGTTTAACGTGAGAGGGGAAAGATTTAAAAGGGACCTGAAGGGCAACTTGTTCACCAGAGGGTGGTGCGTGTATGGAATGAGCTGCCAGAGGAAGTGGTTGAGGCTGGGACAATTAGAACATTTAAGAAGCATCGGGATGTGTACATGGATTGGAAAGGTTTAGAGGGAAATAGGCCACATGCAGGCAAATGGGACTAGTTCACTTCAGGAAACCTGGCCAAAATGGACAAGTTGGGCATACGGGTATGTTTCTTGCTGTATGCCTCTGTGACTGTACCTGGGTAAAACCATTTCTGCTCGTCAGTCCTACATTGCAGCCCTCTGATTATAAATTTGTATTCTCCTCATTCTTCTGGGATATTCCCTGTCTCTGACTGATCATTGTATGGGGAGTTGATCCTGGGTGGCTCAAATTATCTGGAAGTGTACTAATTTATCATTAAACATCTAAATGTAGGGCACAGGGATGAATGGCTTGCCCACCTCTGGCAGTGAATCTCAATCTCTGTGTTTAACCCTATCAACCCAGGAGTGGGTCATTTTATTGGAAATGGGTTGGGTCAATATTGCAAATTGTTTTAAATTATTATCATCTCACAACAAGCCAACAGACCAGCATCAGATTATAACATTCTATCCATCCAGTTTGAACCAAGCACTAACAATGACAGACCATTAATTCCCAGCCTCTTAACACTTTTCTATTTGTTACAGTTAACCTACTAGGAATTATAATCCTGTCTCGTGGAAAGTGTGGTCTCTCTGCATGTACTACTCAATACCTGGTGGCCATGGCAACTGCAGATCTATTGGTCATTATCACTTCTGTCATCTTGTGGCGAATCAGTTATTATTATTTCCCAGGATCATTCCTGGACATCACCCCTTTGTGTAGTATTAACTCTGCCCTAGTGTCTGCAGCAACAGATTGTTCTGTCTGGTTCACTGTCACGTTTTCCTCTGATCGATTTGTGGCGATTTGTTGCCAGAAACTGAAATCAAAATACTGCACTGGGAGAAATGCAGCTGTGGTTCTAGTAGCAACATCCGCCCTGCTCTGCTTTAAAAATGTCCCCTGGTACTTTACGTACGAAAGCATGGTGATAATCGACAATGTGCCATGGTTCTGTGCTGCAAAAGCCAGCTATTATAATGATCCCGGATGGGTGGGATTTGATTGGTTTGTTACCGTATTAACCCCTTTGCTCCCATTTGCTTTAATTCTGTTGCTCAATGCTCTGACGGTCAGACACATTTTAATAGCCAGTCGGATCCGTAAAAGACTACGGGGTCAGAGCAAAGAAGAGAGGAGCAGTGACCCAGAGATGGAGAGCCGAAGGAAGTCTATCATTTTACTCTTCACGATATCCGGCAGTTTCATCCTCCTGTGGTCTGTGCATGTCATAGAATTCTTATATTATACCATTTTAGGAATCGATCCCCAGAGGGATTACAATGATTCTGAACACATCTTCAAGCAAGTCGGATGGATGATGCGAGATTTAAGTTGCTGCACAAACACTTTTATTTATGGGGTGACTCAGTCGAAGTTCAGAGAGCAGGTAAAGAGTGTGCTGAAATATCCAGTTATGTCAACTTTTCATTTAATTAATAAAGAAAACAAGTGAGAATAGAATATGTTTCAATCAGATCGCTTCTCATTTTTCTTAACTCCAATGAGTACAGGCCCAACGTCTCCTCATCTGACCTCTCCTCATCAGACAGTTCTCCCATACCTGGGATCAGCCAAGGGAACCTTCTCTGAACTGTCTCCAAAGCCAGTCTACCTTCCATAAGAGTATTGCAATGTGGAGCAGGGGTAGACCATTAAGCCCCTCGAGCCTGCTCCGCCATTTAACACAATTATGGCTGATCATATCTTGCCGCAACTCCACTTTCCTGTCTGCTCTCCAAACCTTTCAATCCATTCCTAATCAACAATCCATCTGTCTCCTCCTTAAACTGACTTCGTTTCTCAGCATCCACTGCAATCTGGAGGAGTTATTTCCACAGATTCATCCTCCTTTGAGAGAAGTAACTTCTCGTTTCTGTTTTAAATCTACCAAACTATGATTGGCCCACATGAGGAAACATCTGCTTTACGTCTACTTTGTCAATCCCCTTTAGTATCTTCTATAGCTCAATTTGAAGTTCTCTTACACTGTTAGCAACTTTGAAGAGTATCAGCCTAAACTGTTCAATCCATCTTCCAAGACGAACCTACATTCGATCTCTGTCAAGACAGAGAATGGGGCAAAAGATACTGGATTCTGCATTTTGATGGTAAATCACAGGTAATACATGCTTCTCTGTCCAAACAGTAAGCGCAAGATTATAATGCTTTAGAAACGTACTGCTTTGGCTGAATCTCAGCTAATGCTTGACACATATTGGCAAAACGGTTGTGGATTTGAAGGCAACAGCCGGCATACGGCTAATTCCAATTCCGAAGTATTAAGAATTGTACTTTGAATAGGTTTATACAAGCATTCAAACCTGAAACTATGTATGCAGCTCTCAGAAACCATTCTCTTGAAGAAGTTGTAAATAAAACTGATTAACTTCTGTCACAAGCACACATGTGGAGGTGAAAAAGGTTGCAACTTTTAGGCAAGGAGCAACAAATGCTGCTGAATATGAATTTAAGTATAAATCCTAATCTGATTTCCACTGAGTTCACCTGAGATCTTTTAGTCCAGCGTTATGAGATCGAAAAACTACGGGAAAGGACACATTTGGTTATGGTGGCACTGTTTCACTCAGCGTACTGATGCCAAGACAAGCTTCATTCTGAGATGGAAATTGTCGACAGGCTCGGACTGCGTCATCAAAGCTGTCAAGATCCGAGAGGACCCAACAGGGTCAAAGTGCAGATCAAGTCCTTTCACTTGTGCAAGCAAAAAGGACAAACATTCGGAACTGGAGTAGGCAACTCAGCCTCAATGGACCTGCTCCACCATTAACTGAGATCATGGTGGATCTGATGGAAGCATCAAATGTACATTCCTGCTCATTTCCTTGCTTAACAAAAAACAATTTCCCCTTTGAAAATATTAAGGAATCTTCTTCCACACCTTTTCAGGAAGTGAAGTTTAAGGACGCATGATCCCATGAGAGAACTTCATTTGCACGATCTCTGTTCTACATGGACCACCCTGGTGTTCAAACAGTGACCTTCAATTTCGTATTCTCCCATGAGAGAAAATATTTTCTCCCTGCCGAGCCTGTTAAGATCCTTCAAGATCTTATATCTTTCAATGAAGTCACTTCTTTCTCTTCTAAATGCCAGCACAGGGAAGCCAAGACTGTCCAATATTTCTTCCTTAGATACGCTATGCCTTCTAGATATTTGTCTAGTTCTCTTACATTCATCCTCAATGTGTGCAGTACTGCACACAACACTCAATTTCCCTGTATCATTGAAGCATTTGCTCCTTTTTTTAAATCAATTATTTTCATGATTAATTGCATTATTTTATTTGCTTTTCAAGCTTTTCTTTTTACGTCTGTATCAGCAACCAATTGCTTTGATTCATGCACAATAGCTCCAAGATTTCTATGCATCTCAGAGCTGTGAAATCTCCCACTATATAATATACTTCATTTTTATTTTTTCTGCCAAAATGGACAACTTCACGTTATCCTTTATTATACTCCCGTTCCCACCTTCTTGTCCACACAAGTAGATGTCTACATTGTTTTGTAAACTCCTCTGTACTCTTTCCAAATTAGTTACTGTACTATCTTTGTGTTGTTCATAAATTTGACACCATGGCTTCCATACATCCCTGTGACTCGCTTCTGTGAATTGTAAACATTTGGTAAACTGGCACTGGTCTAGTCAAGAGGGAAATCATGAGGGCAAAAAAGGGACATGAGATAGCTTTGGCAAACAGCCTTACAGAGGTAACAAGGTGCAGGGCTGGATGAACACAGCAGGCCAAGCAGCATGTTGGCTGGGGTGTCCGAATACTGGCGGGGGTGGCGAATGCGGTGCCTTTCTTTAAGAAAGGTGGTAAGGAAAAGCCAGGGAACTATAGATCAGTGAGACTGTCAACATGGCGGGTAAGTTATCGGAAGTGACTCTGAGAGACAGGATCTAAATCTGTTTGGAAAGGCAAAGACTAATCAGGGATAGTCAACATGGCTTTGTGTGTGGAAAATCGTGTCTCACCAACTTGATTGAGTTTTCTGAATAAGTCCAAGGTAATGAGGTACAGTCTGCATGGTTCTGTGAATGAGAGATCATATTTAACTGAGTTCATTAAGGAGGAAACCTGTGCAGCAGACAAAGGCGACCTCCAGGATATGCTGCATTTTGCTTTATGGAACATATTTGCAAACGTGCTATATTAAAGCTCATCAAGTAAAGAAGAAAATTTGCGGCAGGTTAGGATATTTGAGTGTATCGAAGATTCACTTGCTAGCAGACAACAGAGAGTAGGAATAACAAGGTGTAGAGCTGGATGAACACAGCAGGCCAAGCAGCATCAGAGGAGCAGGAAGGCTGACGTTTCGGGCCTAGACCCTTCTAGGCCCGAAACGTCACCCTTCCTGCTCCTCTGATGCTGCTTGGCCTGCTGTGTTCATCCAGCTCTACACCTTGTTATTCAGATTCTCCTGCATCTGCAGTTCCTACTATCTCAGAGAGTAGGAATAAATGGCTCTTTTATCAATCTGGCCACACGAACCAGTGCCAGTTTACGAATTCCCCTACCTTACAGCATCGTGGGTCAAACTGCAGCACGAGCTGCAGTGGTTCAGAAGGCAGCTCACTATCACCTACACAAGGGCAACTAGGGATGGGCAAGACATGCTGACCCTGCCAGCCATGCCTGCATCTCACGAGAGAATTTGAACAAAAAAACTTCTTCCTGTATAATATTTGCAGTTTGTTTTGAAGTATCTTTCAGTACATGAATAATAGTAAATTTACATGAATTATTGTATGTAGTATATATCCTTGTGTCTGATGATCGATGATTGGAAAACATTGTCCATCAAATAATTGGAATGTTTCACTGGTATTACTCTGAAATGGAGTGAAATCGGCTGATCATTATTCACTTTAAATGGAATATTGCATATCTGATCTTTTCAGTTGAAAAGAAACTTTGTATACATTCAAATACCATTTCTCCATAGAGATCAGAGTGAAGTTAAAATTATCAAGTAAGACTAAAACATATCCCAAACTTTATTAGGTTTGTATGTTGTTCATAGTGCATTCTTGTGTCTTTCAATTCACGCATTTTCCAAGAATAGTTGTAATATCATTGAGAAATATAAACACAAGTTATGAATTTATTTTCAGTGCAAAGACTTTACATACGAACTTCTCATTCAAACCAATAATTACAAAGGAAATTCACATTACTTTCCAGAGCATAGAATGGATCTGGTGGCACTATTGCTGACTTAATCCAACTGATTATATCTTTCCCCATGAGGAAAAAAAAGTTGGTGCCTGTCACTTGCATGGGCAATGCCATAGGTGAGATACATGAGAGACGAGCTGAGACCCTCACTCACCTCAACGGGCAAGTCACTCTTCTCAGCGAAACCCTTCTCTCTGAGAATGTGCAGTCCAATAAAACCACCAGAGTTGCATTCCTTTACAGCGACCATGGAAAGGAAGGAGAGTGAGTAGCTGGTGCTGACTGATCTGTCATGAATTGCGTCATCAGGAAATGAATTCTCGTCCCCATAGCATCTATGATTGCCTGTCTCTCTTTACTTCAATTGTGTTTTGATCGATGTTTGGGTTGTGGATGTCCACTGGGGTTGGTCCAGTCATGTGGCTGATCGATTGCACTGTCTTCTGAAGGACGGTTGACCAGGAATTGCTCTTGCTCTTCCTGCCTGCCAATAGGTGCATTGTCGGAGAAAATCAGGGCGTTGGCGAAATATGGGACTCAAACCTGGTGCTCCTGTTACAGTATAATGGGCACTACCAGAGCACCAGAATACTAACTCCATAATGATCGCCTCATGCTCCTGAAACTCTCTCTGCATTGCAACAGGTAACTGCTATTGTCAATGTACATGCCCCTGCACGGAATGAGCCCCTGAAATGAAAGAGTGGAACATAGGAAAGCAGAAACATTCGACATTCAGCCCTTCCAGTGTGTTCTGGTATTCAATTAGGTAATGGTTGCCTTGCACCCATGATCCCGTATCCCCTTTGTTTAACAAAAAATAATCGATCCCAGGTTTAAAATGAACAATTGATCCAACACCCCCTGCCGTTTGTGGAGGAGAGTTCCAAACATCTACCGCTATTTGCGTGTAGATATGTTTCCTGACATCTCTCCTGAACGGTCTGAGCTCACTCTCAGACTCTGCCCCTATTTCTAGAATCCCCAGTCAGTGGAAGTATTCATCTTTATCGATCTTGTCTTTTTTCCTGTTAATATCTTGAAGTCTTCAGTCAGATTGCCCTTTAAACTTCGAACTGATGGAGAAATTGATCAGAGTTTCGAGTATGCATTCTGCACTTTTTCTTGATGCTGTGCCAGCTTTAGACAGGATTGTCATTCTTAGTGACTGAAATAAAAGAATTCTTACAGATCAGCAGACAATAAGCAGTAATGAATTTAAACGTTGCGTATATCAATGCAAACAGCAA